AAAAATAATAAAATATTTTTAAGGATATGGTTGAAAATTGTGGCTTACATACAAGTCATGTTTGGAAAAGCCAGACTAGCCATTAGGTGCCAGGTAACTTGATTCCCAAAGGAAAAGTGCAGCAGGTAGGCTAGAACAGCATGCAAATACTTGTCATCCTGCTTGGACCCATGGCTCTTGTCATCTGTCCCTGAAAAATAAAGAAATGACATAAATTGGGCAGCAGGTGCTTGAGGATCCCACCAGCTGTGAAACTAACAGACCCCAGATAATGTGAAACAGTTAGAAGCCATTGTGGCCCCATGGTCCTGTGTGTGTGTGTGTGTGTGTGTGTGTGTGTGTGTGTGTGTGTGTTCATTTCACTTTAAAGCCCTTTTGTTGGAAAACAGTTTTTTTAATTTTTAAAAAATATTTTATTTATTATTTTCATTTTATGTGTATGAGTGTGTGTATGTAAGTATACCCATGTTGTGCAATGCCACTAAGGTCAGAAGAGGGCATCGGATTCCCCTGGAACTGGACTGCTGTGTGGGTGCTGGGAATCGAACCTGGGTCCTCTGCAAGAGCAGTCAGTGCTCTTAACCACTGAGCCATCTCTCCGGCCCCAGAAAACACTTTTTAAACAATCAGAGAGGAGTAGGGTCCTGTACCCCAAGGGGAGGACACCTGAATTTTGTTTTTGTGGCTGTCAGAAGCCCGTGATTTCTGGGCTCATCTGTGCCCTGCTGGCCAGGGGCTGCTAGGGGTGAGGGCTGGGATGTTGGATGCTGGATGTGGGCTCTTTCCTGCTTCCTGAGGCCCTGCTGTGGAGCCCTGGGGGTTGTAGCTGCAGCCATGGCTGTCTGGCTGTAGCATCATAGGGGGAGTTTCAGTAAATCAGGGAGACTCCATCCATCACTTTGTGAAACAGCAGAGCCCCTTCTGGGGAAAGAGGCCAGTGTTCCTTGTCATCCATGTGGGAAGAGTTCTTGGGGACAGGAAGCTGTCTCTTTAAGAAAACCAACCTAGATTGCCAGCTTGATTGTCCCCAAGGAGCCAGCATGGGGAACTAAATGATTGAAGTGCCTTGGACTAAAAGCTCCAACAAAAATCACCTGTTGTTTCTGTGCTTGCACAGGAGAGTTCCCATCATTTTCCCTTCCCCAGTGAGATGCCTCTTCCTGCTTGAGTCTCAAGCATGATTATATCTCCAAGGAGAGCCTCTTGCCTTCCATTCAGAAGCAGAAAGAATAAGAATGGCTCATAATCTGAATCAACTGTGATCTCCACAGTGCTCTCCTGGCTGCATGTCCCAGAGGCAGCACTGCGGGCTCTGCTGGACTTCAGGACCTGTTTCTCAGCATTGCCCCGAGGCTGTGGGAAATGGCAGGGCACTAGGATGGTAACGTGGGCTGGGGTCACATCCAGCGGGATCAATGTTTTGATTCTGTTTCCAACGCTCTATTGCAGTTGGGAAAGATGGGTCACGAAGGGGGCAAAGTGCTAGACATGCAGTTCATGCTGATTGTGAGATAAACAGCAGGCACATTTTCAGTATACCAGGCCTTACTAGTGCTTTGCTCATTGATTCTCTGAAATTCATACTTACCCAGATGTTCTATATTTTATTCATGACATTAGGCCACCCTGCAAGATTGAAAGCAGTGTATATTTACCTCTCTAAGTGATGGTGTAACCCAAATAAGAAAAACAAAGATGGGGACTGGAGAGATGGCTTAGCACTTAAGAGCGTGGCTGCTCTTGCAGAAGACCCAAGTTTGATTCCCAGCACCCATGTGGCGGCCAACAACCATCCGTAACTGCAGTTCCAGGAGATCTGACACAGCCTTCTGACCTCCACGGGCACTGCACAACACAGGTGCACTTACATACATGCAAGCCATACATTTATACACATGAACTTTAAAAAAATTTTTTATTGAGAATTTCATATATGCATATGAGGTATTTTGATCAAATCCATGCCTACTCCCTCCCCTCCAACTCCTCCCATATCTCCCCATCACTTTTTTCTGACAATTTCATGTATCCTTTCTTTCTTTCTTTCTTTCTTTCTTTCTTTCTTTGTCTCCCTGTAGCCCCAGCTGGCCTGGAACTTGATATGTAGACCAGTACACATGAAAAAAAATTTTAGGGGGGTCTTTTTTGAGACAGGGTCTCCCTGTAGCTCCAGCTGTCCTGGAACTCACTATGTAGACCAGGCTGGCCTTGAACTCACAGAGATCCCCCTGCCTCTGCCTCCTGAGTGCTGGGATTAAAGGTGTGCGCTACCACGCCCAGCGAAATTTTTTAAAAAAATATTTAAAAAACAAAGATGGAACTAGAGCTATGTCATCACAGAAAACGTTCAAGAATCATGATCTTGGAGAACTGTGAACTGATGCTTCCCATTCTACAAATTGTTGCAGACGTGGTGTATTGCAATGTTGTACGATAAACATTGGCTGTACTACACAATGCATTTTCAGAACATAAAAGCAGAGCTACTGTGTCAATTTGATGGACTTAGAACTGGTATTGTAGTTCTCAAAAATTGGAAGGCAACAGCATTACTTGTCTTTAAATAAAGAAGTGAGAATGAGTTAATGTTATTACCTTCTCTTTATAGACAGTTTTCAAGAGAGAGTTTAGACTTAGCTCTGTCCCCTAAGGATTTCTCTGTAGCAAGGAAGGGTTGCTCAAAGCAGTCTGGTGCAGAGAACAGTGCCTACACCCTCGTGTGCACTCACAGCTATACTTTCTGACAGGGATGCTATGAGAAATGTGCCCTTGGGTGATTTCTGTCATTATGTGGACATTTTAAGAGCCAGGCATGATTTTGCTAGGTGATACCACTTTATGGGACCACTGTCATATATACCACATCATGTTCAAAATGTCAAGCCACATGCATGTATATATCAGTACATGAATATTTGAAATTCTATGCAAGGGATTCAAGGCAGGAGCAGAGGCATCCAGAAATTACTGACACTCTGGTATTTTTTGCTTTCCTTTTTTCTTCCTACTTCCTTTAATAGGCAAGGGTGGGGTAGAGCCAGGGAGGAGTGGGAGAGGGTAGTTCATCCCTTCCTGTAGTGATGGTCAAGGTATTGTGCTTGGATGCACGGAGACATGGTGTGTGTGAAGCCCAGGGTTTTCCAGTGGGCCAGTCATAGCCTACCCTGCTGCCTCTGGGTCTTGCACTTTCCATGGCTGGCTGCCTGGGACTTGGGAGACTGAGGAGTGGGCAGAATCAGAAGTCCTCAGCAAGCAGGGACACTTGCATACCCAGAGGGCCAGGTGAAGGAGAAAGGCATTAGGGATGGCCCAGGCTTTCAGAAATGCCCTCCTCTTAATGTGTGGGGAATCTTGGGAAGGGGGGTATTCTCAGGAAGTGTGTATGCTGGAGCACTAATTTCAATCAAATAGTTTAAGAAATTATTTTGATTGCTTTGTCCCCCTAGGTGGTGAGTTGCCTGAAAACTGAACAGCCTTTTCCCCTTTGTGAACAAAACCAAATTAGAAACAGAGAACACTTCAGTGACTGAATGTAGTTCTGGGAGCTGGGCCTCTGGAGTTCTGTTGTGGCTCACAGGGATGGTGACATCTGGGTCATATAGAGTCTAGGGAGAAGCCAGTGTGCCTAGGAGTCTAATTCCATCCCTGGGGAACTGGTAGGAGACACTGATGTGGGAAGTCTTGGGCTTGCATTGCTTATGTGGAAACAGAAAATTCCATGTCTCCTAAGTATGGCTTTGAGCTACAGGGTTTTAAAAATAAAATACTGCACGACCCAACAGCCAGTCAGAGCCGGTAGTGACCATAACAAGAGTAGCTATGTGGGTTCCTGAAGAGGGCTGTGAGTCATTCCCACTTGGGTTTTCTCAGAGCAAAGAGCCTTCTAAACATGGCATTTATATGACTTGTCTAAATATGGGCTCATTTTACATGGGTCTTGTGGTCTGGGCAGTTGTGGTTGGCTGAGTGAGCCCTTCCCTATGTCATTGGTGGGACCTGGATCAACCACCCCTTATGGTTGGGGACCCAAGTGGTCTCTGACTAAGCCCCAGCTGTGTCCAGGTGTTAGAACGGCCCCAGAGTGTCACACTGCAAGGGATCTTACACACACACACACACACACACACACACACCCTTCTCACAGTCTGCCATTTTCTTTGAATCCATGCTTTGGCTCCAGCAGAAACATAAATGTCTGCTGTGCTTCACAGGCTAAAAACAGGACTCCCAAGACTTCGTGAAACTCAGCGAGTACCAAGTCTTCCTTAACTGAGGTTTTGTTTCCTGCTTTTTAAGGCCAAAGCCAACTCCTGTCTGAAAATATTTGATGGAAAATTCTAGAAATGAACAGTTCACACATTTCAGATCGCATGCCATTCTGGCAGCATGATGAAATCTTGAACCACCCTGCCCTGTCCTTCCTGTGGTCAGACTCTTTCCTTTGCCCCGTGTTTCCATGCTGTATATACCTCTTGCCCTTCAATCACTTAGCAGCTGTCTTGGTAATCAGGTCTAACGTGTTGGTATCTCAGCGCTTAGAGTCCCCTATTTTGCTGAAACGTGAGGTTGGTGATGTTGGCCATTCAGCTCTGCGAAGGGCAGCTGAGGTGCTTCTGTAAGAAAAAGGGTGAATAAGGAAGCAAACAAAAAAAAATGTGTGCTGAGGTTGCTAAAGTCTCTATGGTGAGAGGAAATCGTTTCTGTGTGGAAGTGTGAAGATGAATTTCATAGTGGCCTTGCCACCTCACGTCAGCCTACAGAGGCGACAGTCACCATGTGTGATTTCGGCTGAGTTAAGGTGGGAAAAGCATTACATTTTAGAGTCTGGCTCTAGTCATGGTTTCAAACATCTGTGGGAGTCTCAGGATGTATCTTCTTTAGACAACAGAACAATTCACTATGCAGGGTGCGGTCAGGGGTGGCGTCCTTGTCATGAGACACTTTATAAACACACGTGTGCTGCTTGCTCTCTGACGTGGCTGTTTCTGTCCCTCTCATAGGACTGGTTGCCATCAAGAATGCACATGACATTGAGACCAGGCTCAATGAAGTGGAGAAGTTGCTCAAGATGATCATCAGCATGCCGTTTAAAGTGAGCATGGGGTTCGAGTGGGGCAGGGAGGGAGGAGTGGTCTGTCATCACCCAAACTTAGAGGTGTTCGCTTCTAGTACTGACTGACTTACTGCATCTCAGCATTTTGTTCCCCTCTAGTCCAGGCAGACAAAATCAGGGGAAGGTAGACTTTTTAAAAAATTTACTTTTATTTTATGTGTATAAGTATTTTGCCTGCATGTATGTAAGTGTACCATGTGCATGCAGTACCTGGGAAGGCCAGAAGAGGGTGTCAGACTCCCTAAAACTGGAGTTTCAGATGGCTGTTAGCTACCATGTGAGTGCTGGGAACTGAACGCAGGTCCTCTGCAAAGCAGCCAGTGCTCTTAGCCTCTGAGCTATGGCTCCATCCCCGGAAGGCTTTTGTGGGCTCTCTGCTGGTTTTTGTTTCTCTTATGGGGACAAAGTAGAAGTAGAGCCAGGTAGGTGTAGGACAGGAAGGGACAGTGGTCTTCCCTATTCTAGTTGCCTTTGCTAACCTCAACTCAGAGCCCACTGTTCTTGCTCGGGCAGCTTAGAACAGGCACAGGGAAGCCTAGAGGAATGTAAGTAAGGGTCAACACTGGCCCGTCACGATGTTTAGCTATGGCTCCCTTTAAATTAAGCTTGTGAACTTTATGTGGAGTACTGACTAAAACCTGAACTTGAATCAGGCAGAACTCCTTAACACTTAAAGCTTTTGTTTTCTGCACTGGAATTGGGGAAGGTAGATGGAACTCAATTGATAGTAAAAAAGGAGCTGTGAGTGAAATGCCAGCTGTGTACAGAATGTTCCATAGAGCCACCCACCTTATCCAGAGGCCCTGCATGTTAGTTACATGTAAATGATGACTGCAGTGATCTGGCCACTAGGTGTAGGACCGCTCGCTTCCTAGGCTTCACCCTCTGTCAGGGCCACCGCTGTGCAGAAATACTGAGACAGATGGGACCCACGGTGGGGAGCTTTTCATTTTCAATAATTACTGTTTTTCTCCCCAGTATTCTAGGTCAGAAGTTGTACTCACCTTCTTTGAAAGATCACCTCTAGATCAGGTGTTAAAAAATGATAATGTCCATAAAATTCAACCCAGCTTTCAAAGTCCTGTCAAAATATCAGGTAAGAGCAATGAAAACATGGGGAGAACTGTTCTCAGTGGCTGTGGTAGTTGGGAGGCCTTTCCAGTTTGTTGTGGTGGTGGGTGAGCACAGCCTCGACCCTTGGGCTCCAGAAAGACAATTTATCAGAATGATTAAATAGCTGGGTGAGAAATGTCTCCCCAGTTTTTATTCACCAGAGTGTTTGGTGCTTGCTAACCTGTGGCCTATGCTGTCCCTACTTCCAAAGGTGTTTATTTGGCTTTTAGAACTTACTTAAGAAATAGTGTAATAATTGTATCGATATCAGCTAGACAATCTTGAGGCAAATACCTGGAATCAGTAGGCAGGCCTGCTGAAGTAAGGGAGCTCCTGTCACATGGCACTGAATTTGGCTCTTGGTTTTAGGGAAACTCCTAGCTTAGGTATCCCTGGTGCTGACACTGGACTGTGCCTTCTTAGCACTAAAGGTCAGCAGAGGCCAGTCACTGTAAGATGGGATTGTACATGGGAGCTGCTGTTTGCTAGCTTACCTCTGGCTAGATGGTATGGAAGGAGTCCCTTGGTCCTGTTTGGTAGTTTCCTAAGAGCTGAGTTATACTTGTCCTGAGAACATTAGACTTGTATTTGTTTGTTGTGGGATTTTTTTTGGAGGGGGTTGTTTTTTTTGAGACAAGGTCTCCCTGTAGCCCCAACTGGCCTGGAACTCACTCTGTAGACCAGGTTGGCCTCGAACTCACAGAGATCTACCTGCCTCTCTCCTGAGTGCTGGGATTAAAGGCGTGTGCCACCACACCCGGCTCTTGTTTTATTTTTTTGAGAGACTGACTTTGAACCCACTGTGAGCCCAGGCCGACTTTGAACTTGGAGTACTCCTCCCCTCCTGTGTCGACCTCTTCAGAATTGGGATTATAGGCATGTACAGCTAACTGTTCCTGGCTCAGACTTACAGTTTTGCAGTGCTGCTTTGGCAAAGAGTGCTGAGGAACATTTTATAGGAAAAAGAGCTCTGTCCTGGTGGCCTCCAGGACCAGGTTTCCCCAGGCAAGGAGCAGTCACGTTGTAGCCTAATGGGTGGCACTAAGGAAAGGAATGGAAGGTTCATGAGAGCCTGGCTTGATCTGTGGAAAGGAGAGGAAGATCTGGTGTCTGTCGTTCATTGTTGCACTTCTGAATGGAAAAGGAGAGGAGGGAAATCAATAGGAAGCTGATGATGTGGGAGCACATGCTGTCTATGGGAAGGATCAGAAGACAAGGCCTGGTAGGGACAGAGTGATGGTGCTGTTGGGTGTCCTTAGGGAGTTACCCACCACCCAAGGATGATAACCTAAGTTCTGTGCTTGTATGAACTAGGTGGGTGGGTTCTGGAACTTGGGCTGAGAGAGGCCTCCTGGATGTTACTATGAATATACAGGGAAGGTGGTCGATCTGGGATGCTCTGTGTTTGGTACTTTTATTGCCTCCCAAGACAGCTTCCTGGGCATTCTTAGACAAAAGTGGCAGGTAGTGCAGGGGCCCCTCTTTAACTGGGGCCTGGTCTCCAAAACTTTCTTTAGAGCAGAGTGAAATTAGTAAGGCTGTTTATCTGGGATGATATCTGTGGACCCCCATCCTGCAGGGCTCACTATGAGCTCTGAAGCCCCATTGACTGTCTAGATTCCCTATCTCAGAGCATGGGGAAGGGTCAGTTCTTTAGTCTGAGTGGGAACAATTTTTGCACCATGTGCCCATATTTTGCTTTGTTTCACTGTTTGGGGCAAATGGGAGAACAGAGAGCAGCAAAATCCTTAAAGGGCTTTGTGTCCTGGGAGGGGCTGGGACACTGCTTCAATTGACCCGGAGACCCCAGGTCAGGGGACAGATAAGCTGCATGGAACTGATGTTGGAGGAGTTCTCTGCGCCCTCTCCTGCCTTGTTTTATCAGTGATGTGATGACCACGTGGCCTATGTCTATCCTGCAAGGCTGAAAGTGATGGCCTTGTGAGATGTTATAGCCAGCCCTGGGGACATTGTAAAACAGCTGCTGAATCAAAAAGAAAGACCGGGGATAGGTAGGGTCAGAAAAGCAGGAAGAAACAGGGTAGAGAGATCGGGAAAGTGCCCCTCAGGCGTTGGTGGGCCTAAAAGAGAAGCAGTTCACAAGGGGCTGGTGTGGGGCCGGCAGGTAGGAGAAAACTTGGCTGGGCATAAAACTTGGTGAACAAGCAGGGAGTCTGCAAATGGCCTGAAGCTAAAAGCCTCAGTGCAAAGGTTGGTGTAGTACGCACACACACACATACACACAGACACAGACACAGACACACAAACACACACACACACGGATGTTGCTGCATGAGGTAGCAAACTGTGGTAAATGGCCTGAAGCTAAAAGCCTCAGTGCAAAGGTTGGTGTAGTACACACACACACACATACACACAGACACAGACACACAAACACAAACACACACACACACGGATGTTGCTGCATGAGGTAGCAAACTGTGGAACAGTTTCTTTCCAGAGAAGTGTTTCCAACCCCACTGAATGCTTCCTCCTTTCCTGAGGCTCTGTCCTTGAACCTTCCCAACTCTCCCATCCTGACTCCCAGACCAGCCACACCTCTCTCTGAGCCAGGACTTCCTAATGTACACTAGGGTACATGTGATGAGCAGCATTCTGTCAGCTCCTTGCAGAATGTTCTTTGCTCTTCACTGGAATAGGAGACATATTCACTGAGCCACAGTGGCTTCTACGCTGCTTTTTGATGAGGCTTCTATTCCCAGAAGCACCAACATTCCCTCAGGAAACAACAGTTCCCACATGGGCACTTCAGGTTTATGTCCCAGTGCCCTAGTCGGTACATTTCTAGATTTGTGGGTCTCAGGGGGAAGCCGAGAGTCTGGAGAGTGCTGGCCTCCCAGGAACCCATGCACATGACTTTCCCTGTTACCATTCCCTCTCTAGAGCACTGAGGCCAAGAACCCCAAACTGACTTCTGACGTTCGTTGTTTTTCTCAGTCTCATGCTTGGGAGGGGGGCAATCCCTTGTCATCTCAGATGTATCAGAATCTGGCCCTGGCTGAATTTTGATCTTGTCACATCCTCCTCATACCCTGGGTCTCCTCCACTGGACTCCGGCCATTGCTTGTGCTGTGAGCCTCCAGAATCGTTGAAGCAAACCCTGCTTACCCGTTAATATCCTGGTGATACAGGGGAGAAGCAAGGTCCCCAGAGGGTCCATCATCACACTCATAGAAGAACTTAAGAATGGACTCAAACAGAGCAAACAGAAACTAGGAAATTTTATTAAAATTTAAGGAAAAGTCCCCAAGGAAGACAAACCATAAATCTCAGCAGTTGCCTTGAGGAAAATGGAGGGAGAATCAAAAATGGTGGGGAGGAGGAGGGCGCCTTAGAGAGAGAGTAAAGAAACACAAGATGTTGAGATAGCCCAAAGCGTTAGGGAAAGCATTGTTAGAAAAGGGCTACAAAAAAGAAAAGGAGAGGTTACACTTTTCTGAAGAAGTTGGAAAAATGGGCAAGACTTACAGAGACCTCGTGTCTGTAACTGGGTCCTAAGAGGTGGAGTTTGGGGGTAGGAAAGGTTTCTCTGATCTCATTAATGCACCAAGTTTTTTGCCTTTCTCTGTAGCATGACTTAAAGTGAACCCTCCTTCCTAAGGTGGTCCTGTGACCAGGTGCCTGGCAAAACTGGAAAGTTAAGGTTCTAACCAGGCCAGGGATTTTAATTTTTTTTTTTTTTAACAGTAAATCTTATGGGGCTTTATGCTACTCTAACACTGATCAGTTCTAGCCATTTGGGAAAATGCTATTCGTGATCAGGACCTATACCTGCCCTTATTCCCTTCCCTCAGGGTATTTCTTCATGCCTTCTGGCATTTGGGGAGATGATACTATGGGGCCCCACGCTGACCCCCCCGATCCCTAAGTTATGGTGAGTTGGCAGTGAGGGGCCCTGAGTGCTTATACTTTTCTGTTTTGAGACTGTAGATGGTCAGGGCCCCACTAGATGGCGCAAGACACTGGTTGTGCTGAAAACACTTGTTAGTATTCTGGGGCCTCTGCCAAGACAGCTGTTCAGCTTTGGGCAGTCTTTTCCCATGCTGATCCAAATGCTTATCCAGCCTGGGAAAACACAGATCTAAAGTGTTCTGAAGCGTGGATGTGGCTATGCAGCATAGAAGAAAACACAGATCTCAGTTTCCTCTGGCTAGGGCTAATTTCTGATAAGAGTTCATAAAATCGGGTCAGTCATTCAGGTCAAGGTTTGGAGATATATTTTTGTAAATAATATATTTTTTGTTCATTAATCCAGTATCTGTTTAGTCTTAGTCTTAATTTTTACCATATGCAGATGACTCTGTTATCCAGTTAATGAAAAGGTGTCGTTTTGGGTTTTGGTCTGTTGCTAGAGTACATTGAAAATACTGTATTAGGATTTGAAGGGGAGGAGGAGGACTACATAGTGCATGCTTCCAAGGCTGAGACTAAATATCTACAAAAGAAAAGCAATGGAACAATTAATGACCCAAAGGGGTAAGGACATCTCACATGTAAGCTCAGTCACAGTTACAAACCAGGAAAATCACCCTTACAGCAACATGCACACTGGGAGATAGTGCAGAAAAGATCTGTTGATGGAGCTACGCTAAGATGGGTGAAAGTTGGAGGAGAAACAGGGTTTGCACAGTATTAAGGCCGTATTCTTCAAGTTACTGTTAGTTACAAAGGGAAAAGAGCAAGCTTGCTTTTGGACACCTGGTGGAACCATCCTTACAGATCCAGGTTAGTATCACCTGTGGACCTGTGGACACTGTGTAACACATACACACAGACACACACACACACACACACACTCCATATTTTGTAGAGGCAACTCAGCTCTACTCTGCGGAATTCCTTTCAATGGTACATTGCCTAGTTCTAATTGCTGGAGAATGCAGCTTGAGGGAAAGACATGTTCAAACTTGCCTGTTTCTGCAAGTCCTGAGAGACAAGGAAAGGTCAAGGGCCATCAGGGTC